CGGGTAGAAGAGTGGAGAACTCTTCTTGTGAAATACTTCTGGACTTTCTCAATTGTGTTAATATCACATACGTGATAAGGATTCCAGACTGATGAACTGTATTCGAGTATTGGTCTTGCAAATGTTTTGTATGCTCTGGTTAGTAGTGAGATATTACCAGAGAAAAAGCAACGTAGGATTAGGTTAACAACTCTTAATGCCTTTTTGGCTATGTAGTTGCAGTGAGCTCTAGCACTTAGATCATTAGAGGTGAGTATTCCCAGGTCCTTTACAGAGCTTGGGTCATCAACAAGATCTTGACTATTCAGCTTGTATTTTATTTTCTGATTTTTTTTACCAATATGTAAGACAGAGCATTTATTTGTTGAGATTTGGAGTTGCCATATGTTAGACCATTCAGATACATAGTCTAGATCTTTTTGAAGGGTAGTAGTATTGTCTGTGGTATTGAACAGCTTTACATCATCAGCGAAGAGAACGCAATTGCTCTTGATATGATCACAAAGGTCGTTTATGTAGATTATGAAGAGAGTTGGTCCTAGAACACTGCCTTGGGGAACACCACTATTGACAGGTACTGGATTTGATAGGGCGTTCCCAATTTTGACCATTTGTTGTCTGTTTGACAGGAATGCTTCTATCCAGTTATTCAGTTGTCCAGAGATACCATAAGATTTTATTTTTAGGAGTAGTTTGTCGTGTACCACTGAATCAAAGGCTTTGCAGAAGTCTATGTAGATTGCGTCTATTGCTTTGCCCTGGTCGAGTTGAGTAGTCCATATGTTTTTGCAGTGTAAGAGTTGCAGATTACAGGATAGTTTTTTTCTGAAACCAAATTGTTTATTGGAGAGTAGGTTGTTTGTCTCTAAATGGAGGATGATGGATTGGTTAATAATTGATTCCATGACTTTACAGGTGACGCAGCATAAGGAGATTGGTCTGTAATTTTCAACTAGGCTTGGGTCTCCCTTTTTGAAGATGGGAATGACTGTGGCTTGTAACCATAGGTTGGGCAAGGAGCTGGTTCTGAAAGATCTTTCAAAGATTATGCTTAGAGGTTTGGCTATGGCAGCGGATAGTTTTCTTAAGAAGTAAGCACATATTCCATCCGGTCCAATAGATAGAGATGGTTTTAGGTTGCGTAGTGCTTTTTCAACGTTGTCTACTGTAAAATCGATATGTATTAGATCATTATTGTTGTCTGTGGTACGGCTAGGAAACATTGGGCATGATCCATTACTGTTTACAAACACTGAGCCGAAGAATGTGTTAAAGATGTTGGCTTTAATGGTGTCGTCGCTGCAGTCTTTACCATCAGGTCCTATCAAGGGAGGGATGGACCTTGAGTCTTTTAGTTTGTTGTTTACAAAATTGTAAAAAGCACGGGTGGAATTGGTGCTTAGAAGGTTTTCCTCTTGTTTAATGTGGTAATTGGTGCATTCGGTCTTTATCTGGTGGCATAAATTTTTATATCGGTTTTTGAAATTAGCAACGTGACCAGATTTGTTTTTCCGCCAGAGTGATCTCTTTTTGGATTGAAGTTTCCTTATTGATATGGGTAATCTGCTTTTTTGTTTTGTTTTTGGAGTTGTTGTTGGAACATATAGTTTGATGACTCTTTTGACTTCAAGTAAAAATATGTTGTAATGATCTTCAACAGTGTTGCATCCAGTGAATAGAGATTGCCAATCGAGGGATGAGAGATCGTTATCTATAAGATCATAATTGCCTTTTTTGAAGTTATAACTAGGGATGACATCGTTGTGGTGATTTTTGCGTGGACGTATGTTGAGGCAAAAGTCAATCATATTGTGATCACTACTGGAAAAGGGTTCTTTGGTTTGTATTCGGCAAATTAAATTCAAACTATTGCAGAAGATGAGATCGAGGCAGTTGTTTAGTCTAGTGTTGTTGGTTACTAGTTGTTCAAGACCTAGATTTGTAATAGCATTGAAGAAGGTTGTGTGTATGATTTCAGTTGTACAATTATTTAGGGTCCAGTCAATATGAGGTAGATTGAAATCTCCAAGAAAGATAAAAGGGTATGGGCAGGATGTAGCCCATGTTAGTATTGTATTTAGCTTGTTTATATGTTCGATGTCATAATCAGGTGCTCTGTAACATAGTAAGAATCGAATTGTGATATTTAAGGATAGTTCACAGATGATGGTTTCAGGAAGGGCAAGCTCCTGGGTAACTTGGATATTTTTTAGATGTAAGGATTTTTTGTAGAATATAGCAACACCACCTCCTCGACGATTTTCACGATCTGATCGGTAAACATGATAGTCTCTTACTGTGGTAATGGAGTCGGGGAGAGATGCATTGAGCCATGTTTCACAGACAAATATAATGTCAAAGTTAGCCATATTTAAGAGGATGAGAAATTCAGGTATTTTATTCACGAGGCTTCTTGCATTGAGTAGTTTGCATTTAAGTCCGGCAGCAGTTGGGATTGAGGTAGTTGGGGGCGTGCGTGCCTAGTCTTGGGTGATGGTGGGTGGTGGGTAGTTTTGGGTGATGGTGGGTGGTGGTAGGTGGTTGAGGTAGGGTAGTGGTTGAGGGTAAAAGTTGGGTATTGGGTTGCGTGTCTTACTTTTGATGCAGTCAGCATGGTAGTCAATGTACAGGTCCTTCTCTCCATTGTCTAGACGGGTTTTGAGTTCGATGCGGAGTGCACGGGAGCGGGCACGTTGCTGTATGGTTAAGTCAGGGCGGCAACGGAGGTTTTTGTGGTTGGTGTTGGTTTTGGCGAGTGAGTTTATAGTGTAAATGAGTTTACGTTTGCTTGATTCATTTTTGCAAATGATCCTGCACAAGCGTGGGGCCACAGAGCCGTCTCTATTTTTAAGCTCTCGGTCAATGCGGGAAATGTCAAGTATTTCATCGCCGGAGATGGTTGATGCTTGGTAATCTCTGATGATGTTTCGGACAGTTGTGATGTCATCATTGACAATGCTGTCTTCTAGTCCAAATAAGATGGCGTTTGGACGTTTCCGTTCACGCTCAACAGCTTCTCTGATGAGGATTGGGATATCAATATTTGTCTGGGTTGCATTTATTTGTGGATTGGGTTTTGGATTGGATTGTGGTTGTTGGGTGGAGATGTGGTTTGTGGCTATTTGATGTTCAGGTTTTTGTGTTGTGTCTTTTTTTTCAAGGTTAGTTATTCTTTCTTTTACGGCGTCCAGGGATGCTAATATGGTGTTGAGGGATGTTTTAATGGTTTCGATGGTTGAGGATGTTTCAATGGTTTCAATGTTTGGGGATGTTTTGATGGTTTCGGTGGTATCATCTCTTTTAGACAGATCTAGTTTGGATAAGCATAATTTGCAGAAATATGGAAACTCATTGGATGATTCTAGGTATCGAATCATTTGCTCAGGTAATCCCAAGCAGTCATGGTGGGTGTATTTTTTACACAGAGAACATTTGATGGAGTATTTATTATCTATTAGATTTTTGCAGCATTTAAGGCATGTGCAGGAGTCTTGAGGTTCATTGGTGCAGGAGTCTTGTAGTTCATTGGTGGGGATTGTCTTCTCATTGAGTTGTGGTTTGAGGTAGGATTTTCTTTTTGGCATGGTAATATTGGTAAAATAGTACGTTGATTGAATTAATTAAATGAACAATTTAGGGTAATCTATATAGTCAATATTACATCAAACAATATCAAACAATCTATTGTAGTAATCTCTCAAATCAGATAGTATTTCTAAGCAACAATCAGCCTGGTCAATTAATTACTCTAATCGCTAGTCAATTATTTACATTAATCATTACTCACACTGTTCATTTAAATCCACTAAATCAAAGATTTTGCTATTCAATTAAATTGTATGGATTTTGGTCTTTTAAACTAGTCTGTAATCATACTATTTGTACTAAACACTCTAATCATACTAATCAGTTAAAAAACAATAAATCAATTAAACCATTAATAAAATATTTTATAGAAATTGATAATCTAATCGTTGGTATATGTGATGAGGTAGAAAAGTTGTAAGTTTTGAGGTGATGAGGTAGTATTAGGAGTCTTCTTTGTCTGAGGGGCTCGTCCTAGTTAAAATGGCGTGCCCCCTCCACTCTTATTTAAGGGCTTTTAGATCGTGAGGAAGGGATTACTGTCCTCGGAGCTCTTCAATTTCTTCAAGGGATGGAGAACGTGGCTACCGAATCGCCCTTTCTCTAGATTCACTGGGGGGCTTAGAACCAGAAGGAAACCTCTCCGGAGCGACCCACAACAGGAGACCGAATTGGGAGAGAAAGTTGGAGCGCTCTCACCCAGCGATCTTCCCGGCCGGCGCTTCTTGGGTTTTCTTCCTTCTCTCACCAGTCCACGGGAGCTCACGGCGAGTTGCAGCGGCGGACACAAGAGTCAGAGACGGCAGCTTTAGTGAGGACCGGAGCGAAGCGGCAGCAGCGGCAGCGGCGTCAGCGGCAGCAGCGTCAGCGGCGTCTCCTCCGTCTTTTTCCTTCCCTCGCTGCCCGTCGTCTCCCTCAAGTTTGTCAGCAGATCGCTCGATCTCCTTACCCGACAAAGGAAAGCGGCGGTCACAAGAGTCGAAGACGGTAGCTTAAGCGGGGACCGGAGCGAAGCGGCGGCGGCGGCAGCGGTATCGGGGTCTCCTCCGTCTTTTTCCTTCTCTCGCTGCCCGTCGTTTTCCAGCAGATCTCTCGATCGCCTTACCCGACAAAGGAAGGTTGCTCAGAACGGGATTCCTGGACCCTGGCAGGATCTTCTTATTCCAGATCGGCTGGCTGCCTTTGTCCGAGTCCTTACGCCGCTACTTGTGGATCTCGAGGATCTAATCTGTGAATTTTGTTACTTTGTTACTTCTATTCCTGTATCTATGTATTTTGTTACTTTTGTAACTTATATTCCTGTTGATACTGGAGCTTTTCTCTCCTACGGGCTCACAGCGGCGTGACTATGCAGCTGCCTTGGTCGCCATCTTCAGTTCAGACCAATATGTAAATCGAGTCACAATTTCCCCTTTAAAGGAGTCAGGTGGTTTTCCTTTTAGGCTACACCCACCAACATTTTCCTAAGTTCTATCCTATCAACTGCTCTCAATTCATTACAGGGTGCAAAAATGATTCTGTGGCTAAACCTGGTGCCCCTACTAGCATTCCTCAGAGGTAATTGTTTCCTCTCGATTCAGGTTCTTTCCATTTTAATTCTTGTATGCAGGAGAGCTTATTGATACACCTTTCTTTTTAGGTGTCAAGTCTCAAGTCCAGATGGTGGAGTCTGGAGGGGATGTGAGAAGGCCTGGAGAGTCCATCCGTCTCTCTTACCAAGCCTCTGGGTTCACCTTCAGCAGCTATTACATGAGCTGGGCAAGACAGGCTCCAGGGAAAGGCCTGAAATGGGTGGCCACCATAACTACAAGCTCCTCTTACATTTACTACTCAGATAAAGTCAAGGGATGCTTCACCATCTCCAGGGATGATTCCCGCAGCCAGCTGTATTTGCAAATGAACAATCTGAAATCAGTGGACACAGCAGTCTATTACTGTGCGAGAGACACAGTGAGAAGTGGATCTGATGCCAAGCAAGAACCTTCCCCTCGGAGCAGTTGTACACATTGAGTTCCTCAGAGAAAGTTACATTTGTGTATTTGGAGCAGCCAATAAATCTCCACAATGGCAAGTGGAAGCTCAAAACTTATCTTGGAATAAACAGAGTGGAACTCGGTGAGAAGTTTGGTGGAGAGAGAGAGAGAGAGAGAAAGATAGTTAGGAGATGAAACTAGGTAGTTTTTAAAAAGTTGAAATTTATTTAAAGGTAGTATAGGAAGTTAGCACCCACCCTTCTCCTACAACATTGAAATAGCCTAGGAAATATTAAAAAGGCAGAATGTTTCCTCTAAAAAGAGTAGAAACTCAGAAGCAGAAACTCACCTCAGAAGCAGAAACTCACCTCCACCTTTGTTAATGGGTGGTCCCTTAAGGCCTGGGCCAAAATACTTTACATAACAAGGAACTCCAGGTAAAGCAATAGCAATTGCCAAAAGCCCTTTTCAGGGCATAAATCATCCAGCAAGGATCAACCAGCCTGGAACTCAGGACAGCCTATAGACTTGCCCCTCATGGGAGTCTGACAACCAATCAGAATACAAGCTTCAATTCAAATCCCAAGAGCGGGTATAAAACCCAGGCACTCTCAGCACCTCAGCCCTTTTTCTTGATCTCTTCCTTTTCACTCTGGAGCTCCAGGCCATGTGATCCTGATATTAAACCTTCCAAACAGCCTCCATGTGTCCAGTGTCTTTTTCCCCACTTTGAACTGAACTCAGAAGGATATTTCTTACAACAGTAGAAATATGGATTGTGGGATTTGTTGTCTAGTTTTGAAATAAACAATCATCAACCAAAACTCCCAATTGAAAACAATGGTGATTTTATTTACTACTTTGCAAAGTGGGTGCACCATGCTCACATAGCTACAGTGTGTGAACACACCTTAAATCATCAATATGATTTTTTTTTATATTCCCTATTACCATTGCAATTTTACCTCCCACCTTTCCTCATTGGTTTAGTACTCAGGCTGTCGCAACCTATCCGAATGGCCTAAAGTGAATACATTATCTCCACTCCAATTATATATCCCATTATTCTAAATCTATTGCTCTCTGCCCTTATTTACAAATTACTTTTTTTATGGCTATAGTTTCTAGGGGTTGTCTCTGAAGTAACTATCATATAAGCAAATTCTGGTTAAAACTATTCTTAGCATAGCAGGGGCCTCTGATCCTAATTCCATACAGTCCCCAAGTTTCAGCCTAACTCATTAGATTAGAAATATACTAACTGAATACCAGTACTTCACTACAAAACTATGTGGTTGGGTTTAGTTTTTAGGGAGGAAAATAAGGGGGGGAAATTCTGCCTCTGCCTACCAGCATCCATCGGTATTCATCTGGCTAGCATCCTGTCAGAGTTGAGGGCTTTTTGGAACAGAATTTACTGTGTGAACAAGAAGGTGACAGCAAGGGACTTCCGGTTTGAGTTCCTTTGCCAACAGACCAAAATCACGATGGTGTGCAGTTTCGATCCGTGTTCGCCGCCGGAGTGCCCCAAGCCGGCTAGTTTTGGAGCTAAGCCACCCCGAAGAGGGGGAAGACTGCCAGCAGTGTTGAAGAGAGCCACATCTCTCCTCCTCAGCTAGCCATTACTCCCTTTCCTGAAGGCGGTTGCAGTGGTTGTCAGAAATGTCCACACCAAAGAAGAACTCGACCGGAAAAGAATGTGCAGGAGGAAGATAAGTAGAGAAAGTTTTGGTTGACGGGGTTAAACTGCAAAAGCAACAATGTAAGGTACCTTGGAATTTAATCTATAAAAATTAACATTGTTCCCAAAGAATATTTTGAAGCAGCAAAGGAGAGAGGGAAGGGAAAGGATTTGGTTTTTTTTTCTTCCCTTCCCTATACTGATAGCTAAGAGACTTAAGCAAGAAATTGAAAAAAAAAAAATCCACTTTGACATCAATAGGCATTTAAGCTGAAAATAAAATGTCAAAGGGATAATAAAGATTTCTGGATACTTTAAAGCTTTAAAAAGCAGGAAAGGAGAGAAAAAGAATAAAAGGGCAGAATCTGGAAAAATGGAGGAGACTGCCTGGAACTAAAAGGAATTTACAGTCAAACCTTAACAGGATTCCTAAAAAATACATTTTAACTTAAACTTGGCAACAAAATAATAGAACCCCAGGAAGAGAAAGTGGAAAAAAGAAGTAAGAAGAAACAGCTTTGGATTATCTGGATTACTTGGTGATTTTTGGATTTTTGGTTATTGCATTTAAATGACTAAAATCAATCGGGTGGTTTTTTAAAGGTGTTTAAAATGACATCACTCTTAGAAGAACTGAAAATGGAACTTTAAAAATGGAAAGAAAATGCACAAGAAGGGAGAGGTTCTTTTGGCTTCGTATTTCAATTCTTAGAAATGGAGATCTGGAATTATGAGAAACAACAAGAAACACTTGCAGCACAAGAAGATTGGGACAAAGAAGAAGCCATCTTTAATGATCAAGTAATTTTATGTGGGGGAAAAAAGGGAAAAGGGGGAAAGAGAATGAAAAGTTTAAGATTTGAAAAAACAAGCAAAAAAAGAATAGTTTGAAAAATCAGTATAATATTGAAAAGCAAAAGAAGAGGGGATTACAGAAGAGAGAATTAGAAGTAGAGAGACAAGGGGCTAAAAAGGGGAGGGAGAAGAAAAGGATGAAGAAGGAAAGGAAAAGAAGTTATAAGGAATAGAAACAAGATATAGAGAAACAGGGAAAAGGTATAAGGATTGAAAGTATAAGCCTGTTTAGAGATAATGGGTGAAAATTTAATTGTAAAAGGGATTCTGCAAAAGTACATAAGATAGTATTGTTATATTACAAATAGAAATAATTTTAGAAAATATGATTAAAATGATGGATAAAATATTTATCGTAATGTAGTGGAATGTTTGTTAATAAATAAATGAAATAAAGTGAATGAGAGAATTAAATTAGGAAAGGATGGGAACATTTTAATTATTATTAATGATTTATAAAATATAAGTGAAGAGAAATATAGAAAAAAAAAGAATTAATTATGGAAAGTTTATAAGTGTTCCCAAGGGAGTATGATATTTAATTGAAAAGAAATGTTAAAGATGTTAAGATTTTAATGAATATTAGTGATAGAATTGAATTGGAATGGAATGAGTGCTTTATTTATATAAATATATAATCTTTTTAAAAGAATATAGTGTGTATTTTAAGAATGTACCAAGCAGAATTCAATTGGAATTTATGTATTATATTGAATGTTATAATCTTAAAGGTATTACATTGAAGATTAAATAAGAGTTGAATGGATAAAATTAAAAGATATCATACTCCAATTAGCAACTACAGGGGAAAATTTGTTAAATGAGAAAAGATAACATGAAATTGAAACAGGACAGACAAAAGTATAAATATAATGATTTGAACTGAGATGAGATAATCAAAATAAAGTTGAGAAAATTAAAAGAGGGAAAAAACTATGGAGAAAATGTAATAAGATATGGAATAGAACAAAAAAATGAGTATCAAACTGAGTTTGTGTCTGTATGAAGAAGAGATACCCCCCGGGACCATGCTATTTTCAAAAAAAGATGTTTTATTTGTATTATTTTGTATGTGTGTGTGAAAACCCAAATAAAACTTAAAAAAAAAAAAGGTGACAGCAAGGAGCCTGGGAATGGCTTAGCTCAACTGTTCTGTACTAAAGATGCTTGGTGCTGTGAAACTGAAACTGAAACTCCTCTCCTCTGCTTGTGTTTTCCATTTGGAAGATATTTCTTTTCAGATGGGGAGGGGGAGTGGAACTCCTTAGCAGCAGAGCGTGTTAATAATAATATAGGAAATATTAATGCTCTGATAGTCATTTCAAAAAATCCTTTCAGAGTGAGCACCTAGAAACCAAGCGGAACATACGTGCCAAATTTCAAGTTTGAAGGCTTTACTGTTCTGGAGATTTTGTGATGATGCATGAGTAATATTGCACTTTTATATATATAGTTATAGTGTATTTTCTTTACAAGATATCATGTCTTCTGCATTTTTTGTAAAAACAATAAGTTCTGTTCCCCACAGGATTGATTGAAAGAAATCTTAAAAAGTGACTTCCCTGAGGGTCTCTTTTAACCAAGCAATATGTAAATCAGGACACAATTTTCCCTTTAAAGGAACCACAAGAGTTCCCTTTTCAGGCGACACAAGATTCGATCCCTTTCCTGAAACCTTTTCCATCTCTTTATTTATTATAGGGCTAAATTATAATAATAAAAAAAATCTTTTTCTATCAATTTCCCTCCATTCATTAGAGGAAGTAAAAATGATCCTGCAGCAAAACTTGTTTTTACTTGCTCTCCTCAGAGGTAGTGTATATTCAGCTTCTTTCATTTTAATTCTTGTCTATAAGGAGAGAGTTCACTGAAACTTCTTTCATTTTAGGGGTCCAATCTGATGTCCAGTTGGTGGAGTCTGGAGGAGATGTGAAAAGACCTGGAGGTTCCCTCAGTCTCTTATGCCAAACCTCTGATTTCAACTTCAATGTGTTCTGGATGAATTGGTTGAGATTAGTATCCAGGAAAAGGCCTGGAATGGATAGCCCGCATAACTACAGGTTCGCTTCCTTCTATCTATTACTGTGCATGAGACACAGTGAGAGGAAATGACTCTGAAGTCTGTGAAGAATTGTCTCTGCTTCTGAGCAGCTTTCTGAAATGATTCAGTCATAGAAGTTTGGATTTCTGTTCTATCTGAATTGTATTGCTTCCTTCTTTTATTATTTTGAAATTCCATCCCTTTTGATTCTCTCCTTCTTTTAATTCTCCTTTTTCATTTCTTCTCCATTAATTTACACTAAGTCCCTTTTGTTTCTCTCAATATTGGCATAGTCCCTCGTTTTCATTCTTTTCTATGTGATTCACTATTTCTATTCCTTCCTTCCTTTATTATCTATGTAATCTATCTATCTATCTATCTATCTATCTATCTATCTATCTATCTATC